TATGTATCACAAATATTGTGATAATAGTGACTGGCTGGAAAATTGTACTACATAGTCATGCTAACTCGCATATGTGTTAAATATCTTTTATAATAATCACTGTTTTGTAGAAAGCATCATTATTCATTAAAGAATAAATTAAAATCATAATAGGTGTGTTCATTATATGTTCAGCACCATATTAGAATATAGTTTAATTTGCCGAAATCTTTGAGATCATTTACTCTGTTTGTGCGTGAACATTAATATCTTTAATGAACAATAAGGTTTAATTGAGGGTACAAAATAGAAACGTTTTTTTTGCATTATTTCATTATAATTTAACACAAACAACTAATAAGACATTGTCCTTATAAAAAAGATTTGATACATTTGTTTGTCAGTTATCAAAGCAAGCAAACTGTTATCATTTTTGTATCCCTCAATATTATGCCTTCATTGCATTTATTATCGTACAGAAAATTTTCTTGTTCCTAAAAAGAATACAGCATTTATTGTTTCGGAGAAGACTAAGAATTTCCCATCTTCTCCATTTCAGTATCAAATATATTACGCACACTTTGATTGGTCTACTAATTCATTTATCATTTCGTATTTATTTATTAACAGTACCTAGGTGTTCCACTACAACATGAATTTTAGTAAGGAATTAGCATATACCATTGGCCTTACATTTGGATGAGGCTGTAAAAATATGTTCACGTAGTTAATACGAAAAAATATTAAAATGGTCTATTAAATGTAACATACCACTGCTTCATACGATGTGAAATGAGGTTTCATGTCTTTGCCATTGAGTGTAATAAAGGCACCCTGATTACCCATAGTGTCACTAAAAGAAATAAGTCAAATTAAAATTTGGAATGCAATACGTTATTATTAAAAAAATAATATGTAACAAAATACACATATAACACACCAATAATTTGGAGCAGAGAACACAGTGATACATTTCCCATCATGATCTACTTCATATCCATCATTTTTAACTTCATGGCTCCTTACAATATAATCAAGATTGTTCAAAGCCAAGAAATTCTGTGTAACGTCAGGTCCAAACTGAACACCAACTCCTCTCTTACTAGGTGCTCTTCCAGGTTGAGGTTGTGGATCAGACCATAATAATTCGCACATTAATCCTTCATCGGGTGGTTGTCTATTTCTATTAATTTGTCGAATTTCTTCTAATTTAACATCGTCCCTTGAAAACAGACCACCATGCATTACCTATAAAATAATTTTAAATTTACACCCACCTATTAACGTTCCTATTAATATATGTAATAGTATAAACTTACAAGTACTCTGTTATTAAGACAATGCGCAAGTGGTAACCAATTATAAACCTCTGTAAATAACTCTGCCATTTGAGCAGAATATTTTGTTTTGACTTCTCCATCAAATCCGTACATTTGATTCATGGTGGCAGATTCGTGATTACCTAAATATTCGATCTTATAATAAATGAATAATACTCCTTAACGAAAGAGATAAGGCAACACTTACATACCTCTAGACATAAAAAAGTGATTTGGGTACAACAACTTAAATCCAAACAAAGTAAATATACATTCTACAGAAAACGAGCCTCTATCTACAAAATCTCCATTGAATAACTATATAACTGTTAAGAAACAAGTTTTGTAGCAAAGTAACAAGTAATGTATTCCAGAGGTAACAACAACTATGATACACTCATTGATAATAAAGGATACATATGGATTAGTTTCTGAAGGTAATCCATTTAACTGGAATATATTGAGTAAATCATAGTACTGTCCATGTATATCTCCACATATAGTAAATTTACAATCGTCGGGAATTGTAATATCAACTAACGTTGGCTGTGCCATGAACCATGCTTTTACATCTAAAAGAATCTTATAAGCATATTTACGATGTAATTTGTTTTGTTTCTTGTACCATTCTAACAAGTCTTGCATAAATTGTAATGTAACTTTCCCATCTTCAAGTTTAGGCCCCGTATATTCATCTTCAATGGCTGTAAAGGTACAGAAATGATTAAAATATATTTTTGGAATACATGTAAATTAAATAAATTAAATAAATTGTAATAATCGAACATACCCATAGCCTTCAAATTAATCGTATCAGCTATATTCTTCTTATTCTCTTCCACAGAAATTGCTTTTTCGAAGGCTAATTTTTTCAATATTTTACAACATTCTGTATATTTAAGCATTGCATCTTTATCATTTGGTCTAGCTTTCGTAACAGTGTTATAGTCCTTAAGAGCTAGTTTGAACTTGCCAAGTGACATATGAGCTGCAGCTCTACGATAATATCCTTTTACATAATTTTGATCTAAATCAATAGCTTTCGATGCATCTGTGAGCGCATATCCAAAACATTCTGTCCTTAAATATGCAAAACTTCTATTTCCATAATATACTGCCACTGAAGGATTTAATTCTATCGCTTTACTATATAATTCTATGGCTTTGTTATAATCTTGATCTAAAAAATAATAAAATGAAATAATTGTAGACAGGGATCATTTGTCTATATTAAATATTTACTATAGTAACCAAACATTTCAAACATTAGATGTAATTCACTTAGCTACTAAAAAGTTATATTACGTATACATGATATAAAATACGTAAACAAAATTAATGACATAGAAAATAAGATATGTCACATAAAAATTTATGTCATATTTCTAAAACACAATTTCAAAAATTGAAACAACCGTTTAAAATAAATTTATATTAAAAAATCAGTACAAATAATCCCACCGTTCTAAATCTGTTACTGCGAATTTACAACGATGGTATTTCGTTTGGTAATTTAATGATCATTTACGTTCTAAAAGTTGGGTTAGTTTTAAACATGCACGTGACTAAATCATATTAATCTACTAATGGCCACGATTTTTCCGTAAGCGCATAATAGAGTATAAAATAAATTATAATGCCAAATTTGAAATAACGTCGAGTAAACACACTTTTAAAGTATTCATTCGCTTCTTCTTTAACTTTTTCCGCTTTGGCTGCATCTTCAGGTGATGTTACTCCAGTAATTTCTGTGTTTTCACTCATTTTGCGTTTCTTACGAAAAACTTAACAACTTGATGTAAAATGACTTAAATTATACCGAAACGTAGATAATAAATAACACATTAAAGAAAGAATAATTTTTTTTATATAACGGCTTTATTCCAGACACAGTGAGTGTCTTGAAACCTACTGAACTATCCTATAAAGCGATTCGATCGATCGAAGACGAAAAGTAGCGAGAACTATCGATCATTACGATTCAAATGATGCATATCAATATCTATGCACATCTAACAAAATTTTTTATTACGTTTAATGTTTGAAGAAATTTTTTATTTATAATACAACATCATTTTATCATTTTCATCGTATTATTGATAGTACTCAATTTAATAGGCGCTATGAAAATAATATGAAATTATATATTCAGATAGTTCCAAATTTTCATCTTTACCTTTTATTATCTTTGTAAATACTTCTGAAGTTATTATTATTCAATTTACTAAAAAAATTCGATAATTGTGACTATTGTTATTCGACACTATAGTGATCAAATTATATAACTGTTGGTTGATCTTGTTTGACAGCATCCACGGTACATTCAGTAATGTGTAATTATATGGAAAAACGTTAGGTATTTAAGAGACGGTTTCATTAATGTCAAGCCACAAGTGATGTGTACGTTAACAGTGTGTGACCATATTTTTTTCAGGAGAAAGTGTTCTGTCCGAAGAATATATTAATATATATTAATATTAATATAAATTTTAGACTTTTATGAATCTTACTTATCTGTCGAATTTGTATAAGGTCAATGATTTAGTTAACCTATATTTACATACGTTAAAAAATAAACGTTATAAAAGGTAGAACACCTGCAACAGTGAAAATTAGTTCTAGATAGCATATGCTAGTATGATAAACAAAATCTTCAAAGAACTGTGTTTAGTTGCACAAAAGCTAATGTCTACATCAAGGAAACTTGCTACTGCTCAAGTAGCACCTTTGCAAGAAGCAGCTTTAAATGAACGTTGCATTCTTGTTGATGAGTGGGATAAAGTAATTGGTGAATCTTCAAAGAGGGACTGTCATACTGTTGACTCTAAAGGACAAATTCCGCTTCATAGGGCATTTAGTGTTTTTCTTTTTAATGACAAAGAGGAACTGTTACTTCAGAAACGATCCGCAACTAAGGTAAAAATAGTTATATATAGATGAAATTTTATCGATTAAGTTTGCATTAGTAACAATTAATGAACACATGTTCAAGAATGATAATTTACTTCATTACAGATTACGTTTCCAAACTATTACACGAATACATGCTGTAGTCATCCGCTGGCAGAAATTCCAAATGAAACTGAAGAACGTGATGCATTAGGAATTCGTAGAGCTGCTATACGAAGACTTGGTTATGAATTAGGAATTCCTGCATCGGAAATTGCACCATCGGATTTCTTATATTTAACAAGGATTCATTATTTTGCACCAAGTGGGGAATGGGGAGAACATGAAATAGATTATATATTATTTCTCCAAAAAAGTAATATAACATTAAATCCAAATCTTGATGAAGTTTCTGAACTTCATTGGGTATCAAAATCCAAAATGAAAGAGTTTTTAAACAATGCAGATTCACCACTGACACCTTGGTTCGAATTAGTTCTTAAAAATAAATTATTCTTTTGGTGGGATAATTTACGTGGATTAGACAAACTGAAAGAGAATGATACTATTTTAAGATTTACATAAAACTCTTTAATGAAGATTCATGGGTTTTGAGGAAGTTTAATCATACATTTTCTATGATATATTTATATTAAAAGCTGTTGTTGAGTAAAATAAAAGTTTATTAACAAACTGATATTTTTGTGTACACAATGAGGTAATTATATAAAATTATTATATTTGTCTATTGAATGTTTTATGTAACTTCATATCCTTATTCCGTATTTTATTCCAAAATTAAGCAAGAATTTCTTTATTTATGATATATATTAGAAAACAGCAACACCATATATAGTGTAATAAGTACATTAATGACATATTTTTTAAATTGAAACTAAAAATGTTATTTTTACAACATTTCATGCGTTGATGAGTGATCATTGTTTCAATACTGTAAATTAATCTTCCTTGTGTTTACAAATACAGATAAGATATAAATATCTCAAAAATACATGCGCAATGCTTCAAAGTTATTAACTTGGAATTTTCATGTTAAGATATTAATGCACTTAAATGTATAATAGGAAAATTAAAGTACAAAGATTCTTAAATTTGGCCAGTTCTTTAAAATAAGGTATATTAAGGTATACAAATTCATTGTAATACAATGAAAAAATAAACTAATCTGTGCTAATCTACATTTAGTATGTATAAAAAAATGTAATATAATTCTCATAATTATTGTGAATACT